GGCCAGTTACTCTGACCCTAAACAGGGCAGAAAGGTCTCAGGATCAGAGGTGTATAATTCACATTTTAATGCCGGATATTTTCTAGAATTCAATGAATTCGGTAAAAGAAGGTGAATTTACTTTATGGTTTTCACTCCTCTTCACCAGCGGAATTAATAATTATAAAAATCAACTTTTTCACTGGGTTGAGCCTAACGGGTCCAAACACGTTCTGGCCTCATTTAGACGTAAGATTCATCAAACTCATTTTATTATATATTCACATATGACCTGTTTGGTCCATCATACAGGGATTAAAGTCTCTCATTAAAGGATTAAAGTCTGTCATTCATTAAGCTCCTGCCAGCTGATGTTGATGAAGGTCTTGGTGTCCATGCGGTCTATGTAGAGGACCCCGTCCAGGTGGTCCATCTCATGCTGAAGCACCCGAGCCGACCAGCCACTGGCCTGCCATGTGACCGCCTCACCACGTTCATTGAGACCTGAGATGGACAGATTTACAGCAGATTACAGTCTAACAACAGAAGACCTGAGAAAACCGAAAGGTTGAAAGGATTTAGCAGTTTTTTAACGAGAGCAACGCAAACAACTCTTCTACTCGACCCATGAAGCGCTCATTTCTTAGACTAACTGTCCTGAAGAAACGATTAAAAATCAGAAGGAACTTCAATGAAAGCATCTGTACTGATAAAGCCGAATTTGACCAGGCTGTGTTTAATAAACAAACCTACCAGACACCTCCACCGATCGGTATCGGGGCACTGTGGCAGAAAAACCAGAGATGCTCTCACAGGCCTCCTGGAACAGCACCGTCCGACTGTCCAGAACCCGGAGCTCAGGGTTCACAAAGATCCTTAGGGGCTGCACAGACAGTCCGCGGGCCTCCCTGGCTGCAGGAGAAACCTCCTCAAACAGCTTCCATGAATACTCCATCATCAGGATACGGAGTGGTACCCCAATCTGAGGGGCGCTCAGCCCCACGCACTCTAGCTTCCTCATCACTTTTACCATGGTTCCAATCACCTTCTGGATCTCTGGGCCCGTTATGGTTGCAGGGTCGACTGCAGCGGCATGAGAGCGCAGGACGGGATCTCCTACTTGGCACACATGGTTGTAAGGGGGGGTTGGGGGGGACTTGATCTTACGTTTGACGTACTGAAGGTAGGAGCGCACTTTGATGTTGGTAGACAAAGAGCGTTTGAAGACTGAGAGGTGAGGGGCAGCAGTTGTTTGGAGCAATGTTCTGGATGTGCAGCAGGGGGCTCTGGATGCACAGAACCTGATTCTGGTCCAGGGGAGCAGGAGCAGGGACACACATGGCTTGGTGGTCATGTTGCAGCCGAAGCAGGCAGTGAGGCTGTAGGGGGGGGAAAGGGAGAGGAGAAGAAATGATTCACACCCTCCTTTTAGGATGTTCTGCAGAACCAGAATCAGGCTTTCAATCTCTTCATATTTGATAGAGGTTTAATGTACAGAGTCCATTGTTTAGGAGTATAGTTTATACACTTTTATATAATTGGCTTTATACCAAGAGACCACCTATTCAATTCAGTTTATTTATAGAGCGCCAATTCACAACACATGTCATCTCAAGGCACTTTACAGTTCACCAGATAATGCAGTCAAATTGATTCAAAGTTTTCCATCTAAGGAAAACCAGTTGATTGCATCAAGTCATTAACTCGGATGCAATTCCTCACACTAAGCATGCTTGTAGCAACAGTGGAGAGGAAAAACTCCCTTTTAGCAGGAAGAAAACTCCGGCAGAACCAGGCTCAGACTGGGGTTCAAGGAGACAGAAGCAGAAATACAAAAAGCAACTGTAAAAAGGAGCCGAGCTCTGAGCCAACTCCCATGTCAGAGGATGAAGAGAGCACATCCATATTCTAATTGCTTGTCTAGACATCGACCTTTAATGTGTTCTATGAATTCTGTTGGTCTTTTCAGCTGGATCAGACCTGCTAAGAGGAGCAAATTAAGAGATAATCAGTGCTGTTCACTTCACCTGCCAGTGTTCATAATACTATGTCCGATAGATGTATTTATTTCAGATTATTATTCATTAAACGCCACTTTAGCCAACTACAACTCAACTTCCAACCCCGCTCATCGGGGCTGTCAGCTACAATAAAACACGGGCCCTACATTCAGTCACCGAACCGCATAAGCTTTAAAGAAATTAAGTATTTCCGGTCAGACGATAATGTTCATGGTACCTTTAGGTCCAAAGATGCAGGGACAAGCTGGACTGATTAAGAACAACTCGAGAAGCTGGGACCGCTAGGGCAAGCTCCCCACCATCACTTCCGGGTCCTCCACACATGGGGAGAAAGTTGAACTTCACAATATAAGCCCGAATTGGACAAGACCCTGGTACTGTCCTTTAGTCCAAGGAAATGTCACCTAACTGCATTTACAAGTTATTTATAGAGAAAAAAACATTAGGAACATGGAAGCAATATACTAACAGACATAAACATGAATGGTCCTAACGCAAGGATATATGCTGAATAGAATATAATTAAATAGAAATAACATTACTGTCGATTCATCTGTTCCTGCAGCAAAGTGAAGCACCAACTGAACCATGCAGGGTTAAAATAATTAAACCAGTTAACAAGAAGCACAATTTTAAATTTTGGTGACATGTTTTGCCTTTTCACAGACGTATATCTGTTTAAGTGTGTATCTTAGAAAAAAACATCCGAATTAAGATGTTAATGATTTAACACACTTGTCCAGTAGATGGCGGTTTGCACATATGAGCTGCAAATAATAAAAAAGAAGTAGGTTTAAATTAACGAGCTTTTATTTTGAAATTGAGCGTTGTATTTGAAGCGGAAGTAATTCGCAAGGTTTTGAATTTAGTTTGAAGAGGAACTGAAGCATGTCTCTACATGTCCGAGCGGAGGCAGAGGGGGCAGCCGGACTGCAGGGAGACCTGCTGCCGGCAGAAAGCATCTGATGGACGGAGGAGAACTACCAGCTGGCTCCATCCAAGCTCACCCAGACCGCACAAAGCCATGGATGTCCAACAGGGTGAGCTTCAGGACCTGTCTTTGGGTTTACTGTGTTGACTCAAGGTCCCAACTAAACCATCTCCAGAAGTTTCTCTTATTCCTTAATATTTCTGCAATCCTAGATGACGTCAGGCAGCAATAGAATGCTATAAACCTGCAGGGATGTGTCCTGGAGCTTGAGTTCATTAAGCAGGAAGAGCTTTGTGTCTCTGCAGATCTTTATGTCTCCAGCTGGTCTGACCTGGACCTCCACCCTCTGAGCCCAGAGGATCCCTGCAGGCTGCGGATCCTCTCTGCTAAGATCTGCTTCATCGTGAAGAACAGAGAAATGGAGAAATTTGAAAGCGTGGTGGAGTTTCTGGACACCACACACAGACTTCTACCCAGACTGGTTCCTGCTATCAAACATATGAAGGTCCTGTTTGGTCTGAAGACCATGGTAGGAGAACAGATGGAGCTCACATACTCAGACCCAAACTGTGGCTGAAGATGGATGCCCTCCTGATTCTGCTGACTTTGTTTTACAGATAATCATGTGGATGCTGAAAGAGGGCAGAGGGATGGTCCACATCATGTCCAAAATCATCCAGTTCTTCCCAAGCAAGCTGCCCCAGTATGAAGATCAGTGTGTAGGTATCTGAGCCACTAAACCCAGAGGGACCCGTTTAGGTCAGCTGGCCTTCAGCTTAATGACATTATGATAGCAGACACTTTCCTGGGGAAGATTCTTGGGTTACACCGACTAGAACTAGAACTGCCAGTTCTCTCTCTGAGCTGATCCGATCGGATCCAGTCCTTCAATATCTGTTAATTCTATCGGACTACTGAACTGCTGCCAAACATTAATATTAAGCTGGACAAGTTTGCTATATATTCTGAAAGCACTGTTTAGGATACCATCTTCAATATCGCTTAAATCAGGGGTCTTCAATGTTTTCCAGGCCAAGGACCCCCAAACTGATGGCGAGATGGAGCGGGGACCCCCTAATTATATATATCTTGCATGAAATAGTGTTATATGAAACTGGTCCTATAGTCACTCTATTACAGATGGTGTCATATAATGAAAGTAATTTCACCCTGGGATTATTAAAGTATTTCTTATCCTAATATTCCGTAGATGGGACAGGTGTTGTGAATGAAACGGCGCCCAGCTTAAAAGAGCTCCTGTGTGTCGCTGAAAGTGTGCATTGATGACTGAAAGACATCTTCTGCCTCCACTTATCTGTTTACTACAGTGTGTTGAATTCATGTTAATGTGTATTTAAAGACGTCTCAGGGGAAAAAATTGCAGGGGGAATATAAAAAAAAAAAGTCTAATCAATTAAAAACTTTCGCGACCCCCATGCTGTACCTGCGTGGACCCCCTAGGGGTCATGGACCCCCTGCTGAAGACCTCTGGCTTAAAGGATATGTTTTAGTAGAGCTATATTGTTACTGATCCATCAAAACCCACCAGGACCAAAACAGAGAGTTTCTCTGTTTTCATGGAAATAAAGAAGTGAACATTTTATTGTTGGACAGTTCAATCTGTCCGCTCCTCCACAATTTAGACACTATGATTGCATATATAACTTTTTTGGAGCAGAAAGGTTGTAAATGAGCCACAGAATCTCTGATCGGTGTATTTGTACTAAAACCCAAATGAGCGATGAAATGTATATCTGGGTTAATAAGGGGCAGCAAAATCAGTAAACACTTTGCTGTATAAACTACATTTAGCAGATTTTGAGGCATTTTAGTTTGACATGGTTCATTATCTCTGTCTAACCTCTTCTGAGTCCCCTGGATGTGTGTGAGGTAGTCTGTGATCAGGTGAAGGCGTCTAGACAAAGTGCCAGGAGAAATGTTTCTACTAAAAGGCAGCATCCAAATGGAAGTTGGTCACTGTTGTCATGGTTCATGGCTGAAGCAAATCCCAGATGGTCCAATATTAACTGGTTGTCTTTGTTCCTCAGAGCCAGCGTGAAATGTTCCTCATGCGGAAGAACCATGCAGACTTCAAGAGTCTGGCACAGAGCCTCGCCATAGACAAGGAGAGGCTTAAAGATTATATCAAGGTTAGTCTGCATGGGAAAACCTCTAAAATCTGCATTAATTTGTTCAAATTTAGATTATTCTGCTTATAACTTCTCAAGCCTGTCCTGTGTAAACCTGAGTTAAACCTGTTTAATCTTTGGTTTACTTGCTTAAACTTGGCCACCATTATGAGAGCTGGACCAGTTTAACCACTTCTCTAACAAGCAGTTCATCTGTAAACCACAGGGGGGCAGCAGTGATTCTCACAAAAGGAATATTTTAACTAAGTAAATATTGTTGGTATCTTAACCATTAACCGACAATCACAGTACAGGAGTTAATCTTTTACATGAATATACTAACAATGAATTTGGCAAATATAGGATTCCTGCTTTTTTCTTTTATTTTCAGAACTTGTTTTTGGGTTTTATGGGGGAGAAGTTGCTTGCATATTATATAGGACTCCATTATGTATTTAGAGATAAATAACAACTGTGTGTAATAACTATGAGAATCTTATTTGGTTAAATATTAAGATTATTAAAGTGGAGAATATTTCTGGAAATGTAATTAACAAAAACGTTCATCCTGGCTGCTCTTCCTGCATTGTGGGAAGAAATCCCTCAAATTAATTCTGATCTTATTTCATTCTTCTGAGGCTGCTGCCTTCTTTTTCTTCTTATAAGCCTCCAAAACTATTATCTTTTTCAACTCAATGAAGAGCTGAAACCAAAGCTAACCATTAGAAATGCAGATGTTAAGCAAGACATTTAACTCAGGCTGAATCAACCTAAAGCCTAGAATAATAATAATAATTATATTCACATATTCATACATCTGTTCTGCCTGTCCTCAGTTGAAGAATGCAGATGTTTTTTTCCCCCATTAATTTCCCTGTCAGTAAAGTATGATTGGTTTAGAACAACCTTGAATGGTTGTGGTGCCTATTCGTTTTCAGACACCCTAAGAGAACACCAGTCCCTAACAGGCCACTCTCACTAAAATTATCTGGTTGCATCACTGTGTGTGAAAGTAATTCTTCTAAAAGTCTCCTGATTTTTGTGCTGCTGCTGGAGTAATTGATTTGTTTTTGTTTTTTTCAATAATTGAAAGAGAACCAGAAAAGGTAAACCCTAACCTGCAGAGTCTTTCATTCAGTTTGATTGTACTGATGTTAGAGAAACCAGGACTATGTCTTCTAGACCAACAGCCGTTTTAAATGGATCAGGTATTGAGGACAGTTTTTTTTTTTTTTTTTGAGGACCATCTTGTTATGTGATGCAGGTTCGTTTGTACTAATTTGGGTCTTAGTCCAACAGAAAATAAAGAAATTAATTGATAATTTCAATCTCTGCATCAAAACATCACCCCTTTGTTTCTTAAGTTTAACTTAACACAAAGCTCTTAATATTTTTGCAATCTGATGTATTTCTAGATCCCTCAAAGTTAAAGGGAATTAAATGAACATAGAGTAAAAGAAGTGTCCAACCTGCTGTTGATTGACTCCTCTTGTCTCCTAGAATGAGTTGGAGCAACAGTATGGAGAACGTTACGCCAAGAAGGTGGAAGAGAGACTTCTGGATTACCTGCAGGAGCTGCAGAAGGTTTCCCCTCAAGAGTCCTTAATCTGCAAGGTGCTGGTTTTGCTCAGGGTTTCACTCAGTTTTAAGGGGGGCATACACCGGGTGCGTTACGGCGCATAAGCGCAGCAGAGCAGCATTTATGCATGTTTTCATAAGTTATGTGCCTGACAGTTTATCAATTTAAACAGTTAAATGATTTACACTGGATGTGTAATAGGCCTCTAGATATGTGGCGCTGTTCCTAATTTAGGATAAGTTTCTAATTTCAGACGTGTGTACGCTCCAATTTGGGCCCGGAAGAAAAGAGAAACTGCTTAACCTTTTAATATCCACCTCATTTCTGGGAAGTTTGCCCATTTTGCATACCCAAATGGAAAAGCAAATAACTGAGTAACTTTAAGCCCAAATTACATGTGTGATACGTTATTTGAAAGCGAACTCCTTCTAGTTTCTGAATATATACAAGAAAATTGGGTAAAACACCCAAGCTGCATCAATTCAAACATGATTTAAAGTTGTATATATTTTTCTCATAAATAAGTCTTTTTTGAACAGCAGTAATTAAGACATGCTTACTTGTTGTTGCTGCTTTGTCATGCTACATTTTGACATGCTGCTATAATTATGCTTTGGTGCTCACTATGTCCATATAATGAACTAGGTAGTTGAAATATGAAGAATCTAAGCTTTCTAACGATGTTTAACATGTCTATATTGGTAAACACTTTACCAGTGTAATTTTCATGCATTCTGAGTTAATTGTAAACGCTTTAAAACGAGTCGCCTGCGACCCGGTGGGTTTTGAGAGGTTACAGTTATTACCGCCCAATCAGCAGATGTTAGTAGTTTTGAAATGCTAACAAAATACATATTTAGTTTCTCATCAGATTGGTCGAAGATGCTGATTTTTAGGTGATCATAAATTACTTAAAAGTTCATAAATTTCACACATAGTAATGTTTAGTTTATTTAACAGGTCAAAAGTCTATGCTCAGAGACCTGTTGCTGAACCCATTGCTGTGGAGCCTTCTCTTCAGCGTCTGGTGTAAATTTCTGTTTTCAAACATACACACGTCTGTCGCTTTAATGCTCTTACGCGCTGTTACGCATCTGGTGTATTTACTGCTTTAGATAAACAATGCTACCTTTAGGTTGATGAAATGGAGTAGAACCACCTCTGATTACTGCCTGTTTGACTAACCTGACTCAGATAATGAACAACCAGAGTGCTGAGAACGGAGACGATGAGGTTCTTCTGGAAGGAAAGAGCTCAGATCCATCAGCTGTGAGGACGCTGCTGAGCTGTGGTAAGAAACGCTACCGAGGCAAACATCTGTCCATCAATAGGGATGGGATTTGTTGTCGGTACCCAACAGTACCTATATCTGGTACTATCATGGCATCATTTTAAATACTAAGCTTTTATTTTTTTTATCTCAGTCAGTCAGCTGGTCATCCAGAGGTGTGTATAATGTCCCATTTTACTCATCAGGTGCTTCTACTTCCTGTTCTCCAACCGCCCTGCTGGGATGTCCCATAAAGAGCCAGCTCCAGTCTGAAGGAGAACCTCTGCTTGGTGTTGATGGAGGAGACCTGCAGGTTGGTCCCTGTCTGTGTCCAGAGGACCTTCAGTTGTTGAAGAGCGTAAGTAGCTCAGATCGTTCAGAACGTCTGCATCCAGAGAGAGAGGAAGCAGCTCAGAAAGACGGAAAAAGAGAAGGTGGGGATGAGGAGCAGTGTGTGGCGAAAACCAATGAACGTCCTGAAGATGGCAGCTCCTCTCCTCAGTTCTGCTCCAAACATCAGCGATGGGTGAAGAGCATCCTCCGAGGTTGTCCTGATGACTGCTCAGAGGAGCTGCTACAGCAGCAGCTCAACGCTTCCTCATCTCCAGTGCTGTTCCAGTCTTCCTCATCAACGCCTTCGTCTTCACAGGACCTGACACCGTCTCACCTTGTCTTCTCTTCCTCTGATCCCACTCCTCCATCACACACTTCCACCCATCTCCAGATATCAGAAGCTGCAAACACTGGAGGTAAACAGAGGCCAGGATCTGAGGCATCAGAAGGTTCTGTTCTGCCTACCATGCAGTTTCCGGTCGTCCGGCTGGTGGACATTGCTTCTTTCTGCAGGAACCACGTCACACCCGAGTCAAAGCAGTTATCAGCTGACCACTTCTCCACATTGCTTGAAGTAGCGTCATGTAGCTCCAGGCCTCGGACTTCTTCGGTTCTCAGGACATCAGGAAACCAGAACTCTTCCCATGACCTGCAAACAGCTCTAGGGAACCAGCACATATCTACGCGATCCTGCAGCATTCCAGGTCAACACACCGCCTCTAGACTCTCATTGAAGTCCAGGAGGAAGGCTCAATCACAGCCGTTTGGGGAGGACCGCGGTCCTTTTCCACCATCCTCTCAGCAAATTCAGAACTCCAAACTTGATCCCCAAACCCCAAACAACAGAACTTTTCAGTCCAAACTCCCCTCAGGTTCATCGTTCAGAACCTCCTACCTTCAGGAAAGGCCTCCATCTCAAACCCAACTGGAACTTCTGCAGACATATGTGGGCCTGACTAGGCTGAGTGCAAAGGAGATCCTGCAGGCGACTGAGGGAAGAGCCTCAGCCAGGCGGGCCAAGCCCAGCGTGCAGCACAGCGCTGCTGAGGAGTGGGCGAAGGAGGTGCTCCAAGATGGAGACTGCTTCTTTGACGTGAACGCTCTCTATTCCAGCGACTCTTCGAGCAGCGAGTTTGAGGACTCGGGCACCTGCGACCCGACCTACCGACCTCACGTTAACAGGAGGAGGTTCCTCTCAGAGAACCAGGCGGTTTATTCATTAAGAAAATGAGAAACTGAACCATCATCAGACCAGTTAAACAAGTTGCTCCTTCATGCTAAGCTTGCTTGATGTGTTCAAACCTGTAATCCAATCTAATGCATTGTAAGAATTTATTCTGTCCAGTTCCAGCTACAAATACAGCTGGGTTTTATTTATATAAAAAAAAAATCGACAACTTTTCAGATCTAAATTGTTCACCTTCCTCTCCTTGATCCTTCTCTACTTTGTGTTTGTTTGGATCATAAAACCCAGTTTATCGCAGTGATGTTGGTAGAACAGTACAGCATATGAAACTTGGCTAAGGTTTAGCTCACGTGTTCTGTGGCACCAGATGGTCTTTGTTTATGGATCTATTGTGTACATTTACAGGTCAAAAGGTTCTAACAGCTAAGGCATGAATCAGGTCACATCTGTTGCACATTATTCAAGGGTTTGCCTTCATCTGACCTCAGCCAGAGAACCTGTGACATTTGGAGGACTAATCAAGAGAAGAAGAAGAAGATCCACCATGATATCCCCACAGGACCCCTAGACCTCCTTATCTGCACCTGCTGCTACAGGGACCAGGAAATGGGTCTGACCTCTGAGCTGCAGGGCCAGTCAGGACACCAGGCAGAGGTTCTTCACCCCATATGGATCCGGGAGTTTGAACTTAGATAAAGCTTTATCAGGGCACTATGTTAAACACACAAACCTCCATGGTTATACAAATCAATGTAGATTATATTTGTAAAGTGGAACAATAAGGCTTAATCATTTTTACAAAAAGATCTAAATGGTTTACACTTCCTTTACCCATTTAACTAATTCCCATGAATATAACTCAGTTCAGAGAACAAGAGATCTCATCAAAGTCCAGCTTGGTGATAAAATCTGAAAACAATCTGCTTCTGGAGAACAACCAGCATCATAAATGTCAAGGAACCCAGTAGACAAATCAGAGGGGAAGTTCTGCTTGTGTTTAAAGCAGGGTGAGCAAGACTTAAATGTATTAGTACATTAAGAATAAAGATTCTATTACAATTCTTTGTAATCTGGGAGAATAAAGGAGAGCTAGTTTTTAAAGTTTTGTTTATTAATGAAGGTTATAGTGTGAGTGGTTCATTTGATCCTCACCTGTCTATAATTATGCTGCTTTAGACTTAGGCTAGTGGAGGACATAAACGGCTTTTCCATTGCCTGTCAAAAAGGTTTTTCAGTGCCTATGTAGCATTTTGAAGTTTAACGTTATTGCGGCACGCGAGTTTGATATAATTGGCACTTTTCAGTGAGGAACTAACCAATTACGGTGGAGTATATTGCTCTCGGGGGCGGGACATCTATTTGTCATTATTAGCATGCGGCATGTTCTCATTTCCCGCGGCCGCTCGCGCTTCACCGTCCAGCATAGACCCGGAAGTTACAGCTCAGTGTGACGTAATTAAGGCTACGCCTGACTAGAGCCAAATATGGTAATAGGCAATCAGAAAGCTTCGTCTGAGGAGCCCGCGTGTGTGTGAATAAAACACCGACAGGTAGTAAGTTTAAGTTATTGTATTCAAACGTATATTTTTGCATATATTTAGAAAGGTACTCAATATTTATATTTTTTCTATAAGTATAAACAATAAACACAACAGGAAGAAGACAAAAATAAACTCTAACACCCAAGATTTTTGTCCGTTTTTGAAGTCCGTTGTTTATCTTCGCAGAGTGATTAATGTTTCATCAATCAAGAAGTAGTTTGGTTCACTTAAAGGGAAACGCCATTTTTTATACAGTGGCCCCTTGATTTTACGTTATTACATCATGTTCTACTAACCCATATGAGTTTTGTGTCATTTGGAGCTGTTCTGAAGATATTCCGTTAGGTTATAACGTCTTCCTATGGGCAACGACTTGAAGGCACAAACTAAACTGTTCATAATTTATTCTTTATAGTACCCCATTATTCATAACATGTAGGCGAATCACTGTCCCCCAGAAATCTGCAGTTATATTTTTTATATTTATATCTTTTAAAAACAAAGCGGCGCGTGTATGACATCACCGGACTGGAGTTGTGACAGGCAGCCCGGGCCACAGGCGGCTACGCTCTACCCCTTATATTCATTCGGATAGTCAATCTGAATCATTCAATTCCATTTGGAGAGCGAGATCATCTGTGGTAGTAGCAATAGACATCTTCCAGGCATGTGAGTAAAACTAGTTGCAGTTCAGCGGACAGAAAGAACCAACGGTAGCCGGCGCGCACGGATGACGTCATACCAACTGCTTCGTTTTTAAAATATATAAATATAAAAGATATAACCGCGGTTGTCTGGGGGACAGCAATTTGCCTAAATGTTATGAATGCTGGCATACCATAAAGAATAAATTATGAACAGTTTAGTTTGTGCCTTGAAGTCGTTGCCCATAGGAAGACGTTACTTGGAATATCTTCGGAACAGCTCCAAATGACACAAAACTCATATGGGTTAGTAGAACATGATGTAATAATGTAAAATCAAGGGCCCAATGTAAAAAAAAAAAAAAAAAAAAAAAAAAGGCGCTCCCCTTTAAGTCCTGTGCCACGAAGCTGCGGTTATCCGTTAGCTCACCATCGTGAGTTAAAATGGGATGGGGAAAAAAACCTGACCCAAATAATGTCATACGTCAAAACAAAAATGAGTATTTAAACAGGATTAAACTGCTATCCAAAACAACTAAACATAATAAGAATATCTATATTCCATATGTCATGGCTTTCAAATGTTTGACCCACATGCAGATCACATTCAGGAGGGAGAAAACAGCTTAAGATGTTTATTTAGGAATGAATGGAGGAAAGGCTGACAGAGAAACAGGAGCGGGACCGATCGCACTGCGGATAAAGAGCTGATTAGAGGAAGATCAGTTAGCTCAGAGAACGGTCCGCTCTAGCTGACAGAGCCCTGCTTTTATTAATGCCTCAGCACGGAGCGCACCACGCCCACCTGTCAAACTGCAATCACCTGTGAGAGGGGGAGAGAAGAGAGCAGGCAGAAAACAGCACAGCACTGCCAACAGAATCCTGACACCATATAGGATTTCTCAGGAATTACTCAAGTTAATCACATTAATATTACAGATCAAGTAAAGTTACAGATTCAGTAAAGTCAGATAGCAAAGTAAAGTGCACTT